GACTGTTAATCACTGTTGCTTTTCTGTATTGGTTAAAATCTATTAAAAACAGTAATATATAAATATAACAATTATTACAATAAATCAATTTAAAACAATATAGCATCCAAACAATTCATTTTATGTTATGCTATAAATTGTTTATAACAGTTTGTGCTATAAGCTATTTAATATACAGTTCAATTCACGTTATAATGCTATAAATGTATTGCTAAACACAATGTGCTGATTCCAGAGTTGTGTGGTTCAGCACCTCATAGACCACAAAGGATTTTCTTTATTTCGCTTGTGATGATTTGTGTCCCTGAAAAGATGATAGTGGGATAGTGACCAAAATTATAGCTCCATCCTGGGATGGAGTGGGGAATCTTTTTTGAGTCCTAACTGATTTTGTTAAGTATTTATCTACACAATTTAGAGTTAGCTATGATAATTACTTTATAATGCCTTTTGATGTGAAAACCATTCAGAAGGCCCCTTTACAATTCACAGATAAAAGGATTATGGTGGCTTGACGTAAATGAGAGTAGAATAGAAATAGAAATAAGAATAGAATGGAATGGAATGGAATGGAATGGAATGGAATAGAATAGAATAGAATAGAATAGAATAGAATAGAATAGAATAGAATAGAATAGAATAGAATTCTTTATTGGACACACCAAGTGTGATTGGACACACAAGGAATTTGTCTTGGTGCAAATGCTCTCAGTGTACATAAAAGAAAAGATACATTCATCAAGAGTCAAGAATCAAGGGAAGAAGGTGAAGCCTCCTCGCTGACGGACCGTAGATCACGACTCTCTGTGGCTATGGTCCGTGCTCTTTCATTGGAGAGCCCCGATCATTATGATTAGGGGCTGAAGCTGCCTTGGAGGGGTGGCGGAGTAAGGGGAAGCCACAAGCCAAGTTGAGGGGAGCCGCATCTCCCCCCCTGGGCTTGGTCTTTCCCCCCCAAAGATGACTGCAGCGGTGGTTTAAAATGGCCACCCCGAAGAGGAGGACTCAGCTGGATTAAGATTTGTGCAGGAGGGAAAAAAGAGGTGGATAACATCTGAACCGGGACAACTGGGCAATACAACTAAACAAAAGTACCCCGGGATTAAGGTAACATGGAATTTTTAAGAAAAGAAAAGTGAGCGGCGAAATTACAAAGGCACAGGAAAAAAAATAAGAAAATATTTTTGACAGCTAAGTGGGGATTCGAACCGAGAAAGGAAGAAGCTGGAACTAAAGATTTAACTAAATTGGACTAAAATATTTTGGGAGTAAACAGGCATAAAATAAAGCTGGACTTAAGATTGTCAAAAAATAATAATAATAAAGTTTACAAATTGGAGACTGGACTGTGCTGGAATATTGAGGTTCGAAAAACCCTAAACAAAAAAATAGGAGAAAAAGGTGAAGACTTTGTATAATGGAGAGTGCCACCTTTTGACAAAAACTTGAGCTCGAATAAAAAGGAAAGCATCCTGTTTCTGAATGAACTTGTGTGGATGTAACACTAAAGAAATATTAAAACAAAGTAAGAATCTTAGAAAGTGAAAGCAGAACTAGAATAAAGAAAAAAACAAGGAAAGACTGACTGTGGGATTGATTGATGTTTTTGGCATAGACCCTGGGCTGGAATAACTGAGAAATTTAGAAAATTGAAAGAAGAAAAAAGGAAAGTAAAAGTGGTTTTTTTGTGGACTTTAATGATCAAAAAATATAAGAGTGTGTAATGATGATATCTCTTTGGGAATTAAAAATATGAGAGAATTATTACAGGAAAGAGGCGAATCACTTTGCTCTGTGTTAGAAAAAATGGAAATGGCGATTGAAGAACAAGAAGAAAGAGCTTCAGAGGAGGAGGAGTCGACTTAAGGAGAAGACATCTTAAATAGACAATTAACACAAAGAACACTACAAAGAAGTGGGGAAAGAAGGAAGGTTAAAAAGTTGAGATTTAAGAAGGCAATCAAAAGGGGGAATACCTGTGAAGTCAGGAAAGGCAGAAAGACCCAGCAGAAAAGGGGAAAGGAAGATATTAAGAAAGAGAGGGATATAAATTGGAATGAGAAAAGATATGGGAAAAAGAGGGGGAGGAGAAGCAGTAAGAAACAGGTGCATGAAATAAAGAAATACGGAAATAGTAAAATGTTGAAAAGAAATTGTTTTTTCAGAGATAATGGTTGATGAATTAAAAAGGGGATTCTGTAGGGTGACAAGGGGTAATAATATTTCTGCAATTAAAAATATTTAGAAAATAGGGTAATATAGATACTGATAACTCTTATTAAAAATCAAGGGGGGGAAATATGCTGCGGAATCTAAATGAAAAGATGTAATGATTATTATTGTAACTTCTTAAAAATAATGGTTTATTGGGAATCAAGATGAGGGAATAAAGGTATATTTTAATCATTGAGGTGTCACACTCAAAGCAGTAAAAGGGGTGAAACCTATACTTGTTTTTTTTTTAGTGTTAAAATTTGAATTAATCTAGAATTTATAAAAAGAATGTGTAATGGAAAGGAAATATGACAGACTAAAGAACCAACTAAATTAATAAGTTAATATAGACTATTAAAAGCAACGAGAGACATTGGTAACATTATTATTATTATTATTATTATTATTATTATTATTATTATTATTATTATTATTATTATTATTAGGCAAACACATACTGTTTATCTTTCTTTTTAAAATAAATATTAAAAACATTATATTTGAAATAATTGAAATGAAACAAAAAGATGTTTCGATTGAGATTAATGAAAGAGGCCAGAATTAATGTGTTTGTTTCTCTCCTTACTGAAAATTTCGAATGGAAAAGGTAACAATAGAATTAAATATGCATATATGAATGTATAATTGCTGTCATATTTGTATGTAAAGGTGATGACCCGGAAATATGTTGTCCACTAAAAAGAGATTTTTCTTTTTAATGTGAAAAACTGAATAAAATTTGTTAAAAAAAAAAAAAAGAGTCAAGAAGAGAATATGTGAGAAAGAACCTGGGAGACTGAGCAAAGAGATGCTACCACCGAACTGTCAGATAGCATAGCCCAGTGGCCCCCAACCTTTTTTGTGCCACAGCCCGGTACCGGCATCACAAAATGATCCACGGCCTGGTACCGGCATCAGAACGCATGACAAGGCAAGGCGAGCCGAGCGACCGGCCGGCCAGCCGTCCCTGCTTCTCCCCGCCACCTTCAACTCCTCCTTTGTACCTTTGTCGTTGGGCTTCGGGGCAGCTTTGGGACGGGTTCGGGACGGTCGCTCGGCTCGCCTTGCCTTGGGTGCTGAAAGAATCCTCGCGCCTTAGTTTCATTCGAAGCCGCCCCCCCTTCAATGAAACTAAGGCGCGAGGATTCCTTCAGGACCCAAATGCCGCTTTCCAACCGGAAAAGCTCACCCGGAAGCACTTTCTCATCGAAACAAGATGGCGGCGCCCAGAAAACCGGCGGCCCTGTAGAAAATGTTCCACGGACCGGTACTGGTCTGGGGCCCGGTGGTTGGGGACCCCCGGCATAGCCCACGGCTGGATAGTGAGTGAGGGAAGTGGCTCAAAAGAGACCCTCCCTAGTTTTTCAAGCAATAAAGGAGCAGAAAGAGAATCGTACTTTCAGATTTTCAAGTAGCTGTCAATGTATCACTACAATAAAATAGAATTGCCTCATCTGGTTATCTGGTTATCCTATGAGGCTAATATCAATCTTGCAACTCTGAAACTACCATTCTCTTCTTGTTCTGTCTCTAAATAAACAGCCCAATTAACTGTTCATAGGTACTGGTACTGGTTTCTGACAGCTACTAATTGATGAGAGCTATATTTAACAATATCCTGCTTAGCAATGATTCACAATTACAAAGGCGATAATAAAAATGACAAATTCTCAACCTTTGCAAGTCCGTAAATTGAGGGAAAGATGAAGTAAGATCATAAGCATCGTTGCAGTTTAATTGAGTGACCGTTTCACTTAACCACCAAGATGCCAGTTCCAATTATGATGACTAAATGAGGACTAGCTGTATGCTTCCTAAATTCCAACCCGAATTTGGTTGGATTTTGCAACGTATTATAAATGATTTAATTTTATTTGGAAAAATTTATAGATATGAAACATACAAGGCGAAGCTGAATTAATAGCAAGTACTATTTAAATAAAATAAAATCTAAATAGTAAAAATCTGTAGTTTATAAATTTATATTTTTATTGCACCAAAAATATCACTTGAAGTCAAAAACTGCTAAACAGAAGTTGTCATTCCTTGATCGTGTCATGAGAGTTAACTTACTCAAAATGTCAATCATTCGGGGAGAGATCAGATAATGGAGAAGGGGCTACTATACTATACAAGGATGACAACCGAGATGACCATGACGGATCTGAAAGAGTCAATGTGAGGCAGAGGGACATGCATGGAGAGTGCTGATCCATAAAATGGCCGAGGGTAGGACACAACTGAATGGCTGACAACAATGACTATTTATATAACGAGATATTGCTCATAACTTTTACCACTATTTCAAGGATATATTGCTGTGCTCAACTTCCTGTTTTTTAATCTGGTTTGTAGTACAGATTATGCTCTACTTTGACTCTTTCAGGTATGGAGTATCAGTTTAGTTGTACATTAACAAAAATTAACCATGGTATGCTTAAATGTGCAGGCAGCCCAATAATGGGTATTCATTCTTCTGAAATCTAGCCTTTAATGGAAAAGTGTCAGTTGTATATGTACATACCAGCATCCGCTACCAGAAAAATGTGTTGAATGTTTTCTCTCCATTTTAACTTCTTTATCGTGATTATAATCTTTTATGGAGACCCAAATAAAGCACCACAGCATGATTAATTTCATTGCAATGCCAAAGTGGCAAGTTTTTAAATTTTATTTTGGAAGTATGCCACTCTTGGCCACACCAGTAAAAGCCTTACAATAATACTTCTATCATGCTAATATTATGCTAAAACTGGTTTTCCCCTTTTCTGCTTCTCTCACTTTAGATGGGCTTAGGACATGAAGAAGGATTTGGAGCCCTATGTTTAAAATGTAAAGATAAATGTGAAGGATTTGAACTACATTTCTGGAGGTAAAATTTTATATAGAAACTTGGAGAAGAGGGGAGAGGGAGGGGAGAAGAGGGAGGGAGGGAGGGAGGGAGAGGGGGGAAGAGAAGAGAGAGAGGGTGCATACAACACACACACACACACACACACACACACACACACACACACACACGTATATGATTTGCTTTAGAACCTACAATTTAATACTTTCCCACTAGGTGGGAGTATAACACTTGTTACAGTATTTTTTTTCCCCCTCTATGAATGAGGAAAAAAACAAAATTTCTCCATTTAGTTATAACAAAAGTTCCTAACATACCAGTTGAGGAATTTAAATTACTGGTATGTGTCTAATGATGTCAAAGGCCTTAACTGCATAATTGTGATCATTACATTTCTTTTGGGATAAGGTATCCAGTTTAGTACTGTATTCCAGGACCATATATGGCCTGGAACTGTACTTCAGTGCTTTCAGATGTTGGAATCGCTGTTGCTTCTCACATCGTAGAAAGAAGGATGTGAATAAAACCTTTATATTCTTGAGCATTTTCAGAAAACTGGGGAGATTTGTGTTGTGCAGAAGGGATTCCAAACTGCTGTTAATAATTAAAAACATAAAAATATAACTGCTGGATCAGATTGGTTACAGTGATCAAGCAGAACTTCAGAGCGACCTCAAGCAGAAAGCGGAGGTAGATCCATAGTCCACTGTTGGGTGCCTATTGTCAGTGAAAGGAATGCTGTTCCCAAATTAATGATAACAATTTAATCTGAGAATTGGTAGTTTTGAATAGTTCTGTTTTGCCTTGGAAGATGCTGACCTAAATTAAAATTATTATCAACACAGTTCCTTTTAAATTTTGCTGAAATTTAACCATTACTTTCCTAATGGTTTGGATGTAAATTGGGAAACAGTATATAAACTCTTTTGTAATGAAATATAATTTAGAAGGAAAACCTATCATTTAAAATGTGTAAATTGAGACAAAAATCAGTTAAGTGTGTTATAAAAACTCAAGATAGAGAAAATACAATAAAATTGGTAGTTTTAAATTATAGAACAACAAACATCCAATGCTGTTTCATTCTTGCCTATATATAACTTTATTTATTTAACAGGCTTATATAACCGTTCAATTCAAAAATAGTGTTAAAAAATCCAATTTAACCTCCTTCCCCCTCCTCTTTGCTGTTTACTAACAACAGAACAAATAAGAAACTCGTGCGACATCTCATAAGGGCAAGTTCTGAAATTTGGGTGCTACTTACAAGTCCTTTTCAAGACTCATTAGATGACCATAGAAGATATATCTGTCGCTCAGGGTTGAACTATGGAGTCCTGAATGCTCTCTGAACTTGCTTGTTTTCTTGCAGACATTTCATTATCCAACTAGATAAAATCTTTAGTGCTAGAATTAAAGTAAACTGGGATTCTGCTGGGCTGAATAAGTTCTGCAAGACCAGTTCTGTTTTCATGTATCTATGTTGTCTAAATTATGCTTCTCTTTTGAACCTAGAAAAATATGTCGAAATTGCAAGTGTGGCCAAGAGGAACATGATATTCCCACCAGTAATGAAGATGACCGCAAAGTGGGGAAACTTTTTGAGGATACAAAGTATACAACTCTAATTGCAAAGCTGAAAACCGATGGTATCCCCATGTATAAGCGTAATGTAATGATCCTGACTAATCCTGTAACAGCCAAGAAGAATGTGTCCATCAATACAGTAACTTACGAATGGGCACCTCCTGTTCAGAATCAAACCTTGGTGAGATACCGGCTTACGATCATAAAGACTCATATGTTAATGAGGAATAGTTATCCTTTCTGCTTATGGTGAAGTTGGGAGGAGACAAGCAAGTCAAGAATAGTCTCTTTTGTGGGGCAGGAAGTATATATAAGGAATGTTATATGCAAATGACAAAATTGTCTCAGCTATAATTCATAATTGTATATGCAGATAAGAAGGATTTCGTTTCCTGGTTTTCCTGTGCAAGTTTCTCTTCAAGCAGCCAAGTGCAATTAGTTTGCAGCACGGACATAAGAGTAATAATGGTGTTTGAGTGAGGCTAAGAAGGAAGGGGATGTGAGTTTGTGTTCCTAATTAGGAGTAAGTATTACACTGGAGGCATCCCAGACACTTGAGATAATTTATGAGTCCCCCAAATGAACCATTTTAAAATGACATCCTGAAATGGGACACCACACTGGGAAAAAATCCATGAACCTATGTCATCACTTAAAGGCTGAGGAATAGCACTCAAGCACACACATTTCTGTTACTGTATATGGTCAGACTAAATTCAGTATTGTCAACCAAAAGAAAAAGCTCCCTCTGGTTTATTAAATGCTTGTTCTAGGCGAGATAGTTGGATAGCCTTGTTGGGGTTTTTCTTTTTTTTCATTTTAGTGCTTCAATCCTCAGTTTATATAATGTCACGCTGGGTGATCTAAAACAGAAGCCCTTGTAAACCTTAAAGGGTTAGGTTTTAGGGATTATTTAAGAAACTCTGGTGAAGATATTTGTCAGATGTGTTATATTTTGTCCTTAGGAAAAACAATCCTTTTTCTGTTGTGAGAAAATAATCCTTCTGTTGTCAGGAAACCAATAGCAAATCATAGTTAGGATAAAAGCTAACCAACAACTAAAAGTATTCAATGTTAGCTCTGAGTGGCAATGGAGGAAAGCCATACTTTTATAACTTTAAATCTGAATTCCTGGCTCATCAGCTCCATCTCCCCCATGCACACCTTGATCTGCGTTTCCCCTGAAGATGAGCAATTTGTACAGAGCACTCCTCAATCTCATCTCATCTTTTTGTTTTGTTTTGTTTAGAAAGCTGGAATCCCATGGACCATTAATTCTAGCCCTCTCTCCTCACTCTTTAGGCGAGGCACTATATGCAGATGCTTCCAAAGGAGAAACAGCCCGTGGCTGGCTCGGAAGGGGCTCAGTACCGCAAGAAACAGTTGGCCAAACAGCTGCCTGCTCATGATCAGGACCCTTCCAAGTGCCACGAGCTGACACCTAATGAGGTGAAGCAGATGGAGCAGTTTGTGAAGAAATACAAGACTGAAGCACTGGGTGTGGGTGATGTCAAACTTCCCAGTGAACTGGAAGGGAAAGCCGGGGAGAAGGATATCCTGAGTAATGGCGAGAAAGGAACCCCCACTACTGTTGGAGCCATGGAAGACAAACCGGCGGGTCAGAAAGGACCTCAATATGTAAGTGGGCGATGTATGTGTACGTTGAGCGTGAGTGTTCAAAAGCAGATCAAAGAAAATAAATTATTTGGATGTTTAGTCTCTCATAATGTGCTTCCTGTATTTGCAATGGAATGTATTATAACTTTGCCTCTTTAAAAAAAAAAAGAAATGAAAAGTTTTTGTTTGCATCAAATTTCCATCAAATCTTATCCCTTTAGATGCTATTATTTTAAGGGGGGGTGGTTTCTGCAAACTAAAATTGGTAGAACAAAAATAAAAGCCTATGGTAAAAGCCAATAAAAGATTGGTGATTACTGATGGAAGAGGGATTCATAGAATCTGACAAGTTCTACTACTGGTTAGACTTTAATGGAAAAATGACCTTAGAGATCACCTAGGCCAGCCCCAAGCTCAGTGCAAAAATCTTTCTTTTAACAAGTAACTGAGATATAGCAGTGCATGATTTGCTTAAATATCTTTAGAGGCAGTCACCATGTATTAGACAGCCTCATTTTAAAAAAAAATTCAAAAATCTAAGCCAAAATATCCACTTCATAATTACAATATCTTCTGGGCAGCAACAGAGAGCAAGTCAACCATGCAGTGCTCTTACAATAATATTAATATAACATGCCCAACTGGAGATCTGCATGGAGATCAATATTTTGTCTTTTGCTAGTGAGTGAACTATATATAGATGAGAGCCATTAGTTCCCCCAAAGTAGTGTGCTGTATTATTTCTTTTTCAGTGTTTTTCAAGAGGAAAACTAATAACTCTGCAGGAAAACAAATCTCCCTAGAGGCGTAGAGAGGAAATTGACCATTGAATGGAAACCAACAAAAGAAAGCCAATCTTATTTCCTCTTTTCCCACTTAATTTAAAAAGAAGGTGCTTTGGTTCCACTTTAAAATTGAATTTACAACTTCCCCATTGTTTGTTTCAATCAATGAGTCAGGAAAACAGATACACTAGAAAGCCAGTGTGCTATACAGACACAGGTGCAATCCCTCCCTCCCGTTTATTGATGCTCATGGGCGGACTTTCTGGCTGAGGTGGGAGAAAATATGAAACTTTTGGTAACCTGGTATTTGGACTTCAAATATCTGCTTCCTAATTTAAATATATTATCATATTCTGAAATCCAAACTGAGTG